AACCCAGTGCACAAAGAAACACTGAAACAAGTATTTTTTAGGGACATTTTCGTACGTCCAGACGTGACGTCTCTTTTCCTGAGTCGTCCAGTACTGACGTTCCCAGGTTCCAGACGAGGCTGATTCTAGTTAAGATGAAATCATAGTCGACGTCTTTTCTACTTAAAAAAAAAAATAAAAATGTTATAATGTGTGTTTTAATGTGTGTTAAAAATTATGTGTTTAATTAATTTAGGTATAGGTATGTTTATTTGGAAATGCAATTTGTGGAAAATTATAGCCTCCTCATACAAAAATGTTTAAAATTCTATGGGCCTTTGAGTTAGTTATGAGTTATGAGTCAAAAGGAAAGCAGGAGCTCAGGTGGTCGAGTTTCCTCACTGATCCAAAGGTTGATGGTCTCGATGTGAAACATCATTAGTTGAGCGTCAGAACCACAGACCCACAGGTTGGGAGTGCAATTCCAGCCCCCACAGATGAACGCTGCTGTTGTGTCCTTGGGCAAGACACTTCACCCACCTCGCCCCTGTGTCTGTGTGCACTGCTGTGTGACTGGGTGAGTGTTTTCTTGTTGCAAATCACTTTTCATCTTGAGGGTGGAAAAGCGCTGCATAAAAACGTGACCATTAAATTTATTTATTTATTTTTAAAAATTTGACGCAGAAAAGACGTCAACAACGACCTCATTTGGACTAGAATCAGTCTCATCCGGAAGTCCTGGGAAGATTAATACTGGACACCAGGAAGAGGCTGGAAAAGAGACGTCATCTGGCGTCACAGTCTGGACCTTCACTGGACACAGACTGGATGTACAAAAATTACACTAAAAACACATGTTTCAGCGTTTCTTTGTGCAGTGGGTTAGTCTTAGTTTGGTCCTGATTTGGTCCCGGTTTAGTCCTGGTTTGGTCCTGGTTTATCCCTGGTTTGATCCTGATGTAGTACTGGTTTAGTCCTGGTTTGGTTCTGGTTTGGTTCTAGTTAATCCCTGGTTTGGTCCTAGTTTGGTCCTTATTTGTTCCTGATGTAATCCTGGTTTGGTACTAGTTTGATCTTAGTTTGGTCCTGATTTAGTCCTGGTTTAGACCTGCTTTAGTCCTTATTTGGTCCTAATTTATTCCTGTTTGGTCCTGATTTGGTCCTTATTTGATCCTGATTTAGTCCTGGTTTGGTACTAGTTTGATCCTGGTTTAGTCCTGAGTTGGTCCTGGTTTAGACCTCCTTTAGTCCTTATTTGGTCCTGATTTAGTCCTGTCTGGTCCTGGTTTGGTCCTGGTTTAGTCTTGGTTTGGTTCTGGTATATCACTGGTTTAGATCTGGTTAAGTCCTTATTTGGTCCTGGTTTAGTCCTTTTTGGTCCTGCTTTGGTCTTTATTTGTTCCTGATGTAGTCCTGGTTTGGTACTAGTTTGATCCTGGTTTGGTCCTGATTTAGTCCTGGTTTGGTTCCAGTTTAGTCCTGGTTTGGTCATGGTTTAGATCTGGTTTAGTCTTTATTTGGTCCTGGTTTAGCCCTGTCTGGTCCTAGTTTGGTCCTGGTTTAGTCCTGGTTTGGTCCTGGTTTAGTCCCAGTTTGGTTCTGGTTTATCCCTGGTTTGGTCTTGGTTTAGACCTTTTTTAGTCCTTATTTGGTCCTGGTTTAGTCCTGTTTGGTCCTGATGTAATCCTAGTTTGGTACTAGTTTGATTATGGTTTGGTCCTGATTTGGTCCTGGTTTAGTCCTGATTTAGACCTGCTTTAGTCCTTATTTGGTCCCAGTTTAGTCCTTTTTTAAAAAAAAAATCCTGGTTTGGTCCTGATTTGGCCCTGGTTTAGTTCTGGTTTAGTCCTTATTTGGTCCTGATTTAGTCCTGTTTGGTCCTGGTTTGGTCCTTATTTGGTCCTAATGTAGTCCTGGTTTGGTACTAGTTTGATCCTGGTTTAGTTCTGATTTGGTCCTGGTTTAGTCCTGTCTGGTCCTGGTTTGGTCCTGGTTTTAGTCCTTTTTGGTCCTGGTTTGGTCTTTATTTGGTCCTGATGTAGTCCTGTTTTGGTACTAGTTTGATCCTGGTTTGGTCCTGATTTACTCCTGGTTTGGTTCTGGTTTGGTCCTTGGTTTAGATCTGGTTTAGTTTTTATTTGGTCCTGGTTTAGCCCTGTCTGGTCCTAGTTTGGCCCTGGTTTAGTCCGAGTTTGGTTCTGGTTTATCCCTGGTTTGGTCTTGGTTTAGACCTTTTTTAGTCCTTATTTGGTCCTGATGTATCCTAGTTTGGTACTAGTTTGATTATGGTTTGGTCCTGATTTAGACCTGCTTTAGACCTTATTTGGTCCCAGTTTAGTCCTTTTAAAAAAAAAAAATCCTGGTTTGGTCCTGATTTAGTCCTGGTTTAGTCCTGGTTTAGTCCTGGTCCTGACCCTCTGTCCTCTCTCAGTGGTTTAGTCCTGGTTTAGTCCTGATTTAGTCCTGGTTTAGTCCTGGTTTCGGTCTTAGTATCTCATTTCCGACACTTTTAACACCCAAACGATGAAACAAAAATAAACAAAAACATCAATTTAGACTTATTTTCGACGCACTAAACCGCTCTTAAGAACATTTAACCCTTAACCCCGGCGGTCTCTGCGTCTCCACCGTTGCGAGATAGGGTCAACAAGCTCCAAATCCTCACTTTATGAAGATTATACCATTATAATAATCCATAAATAAAGCATTGTGGGGTTGTTTTATTTGGACGCAGCTGGAGCTAATCCGGTTAGCGCTTTCTAATGGGATTATCCCTGTGTAAACATTAGCATTAGCTCTGTTAGCCGCTCATAAATAAAGCAGCGCAGACATTAGCATTAGCGCAGTTAGCACACAGTATAATGATGTTTATGGAGCCGAAAGGTCAGGTTTAATCCGGACTCAGGGGACCCGGTCTCCGAGGAGCCGCGGTGGAGAGTCTGGTTTGCTTGACTCGGGCTTCTGGAAATGTAGATCTGGATGATTCTCGCCGTTTGGGCCCGGTTTGGTCGGGTTTGGTCGGGTTTAGCCTGGTTTAGATTGTTTTTCTAGTTCAGGTCGTCTGAGGAATGGAGGGTTTAGACCTGGTTTAGTCCTGGTTTAGTCCTTGTTCGGGTCCTGGTTAAATCCTGGATCAGTCCTGGTTTAGTCCTGGTTTAGTCCTAGTTCAGTCCAGGTTTAGTCCTGGTTTAGTCTCGGTTTGGTCCTGGTTTAGTCCTGGTTCAATCCTGGTTCAGTCCTGATTTAGTCCTGGTTTAGTCTCGGTTTGGTCCTGGTTTAGTCCTGGTCCTAACCCTCTGTCCTCTCTCAATGGTGTAGGTCTGGTTTAGTCCTGTTTGGTCCTGGTTTGGTCCTGGTTTAGTCCTGGTTCAGTCTTGGTTTAGTCCAGGCTTAGTACTGGTTCGGTCCCGGTTTAGTCCTGCTTCTGTTTTGGTTTAGTTCCTAGTTCAGTCCTATTTCAGTCCTGGTTTACTCCTAGTTTAGTCCTGGTTTAGTCCTGGTTTGGTCCTGGTCCTGACCCTCTGTCCTCTCTCAGTGGTGTAGGTCTGGTTTAGTCCTGGTTTAGTCCTGGTTTAGTCCTGGTTTGGTCCTGGTTTAGTCCTGGTTTGGTCCTGACCCTCTGTCCTCTCTCAGTGGTGTAGGTCTGGTTTAGTCCTGGTTTAGTCCTGGTTTGGTCCTGGTTTGGTCCTGACCCTCTGTCCTCTCTCAGTGGTGTAGGTCTGGTTTAGTCCTGGTTTAGTCCTGGTTTAGTCCTGGTTTGGTCCTGGTTTGGTCCTGACCCTCTGTCCTCTCTCAGTGGTGTAGGTCTGGTTTAGTCCTGGTTTAGTCCTGGTTTAGTCCTGTTTTAGTCCTGGTTTGGTCCTGACCCTCTGTCCTCTCTCAGCGGTGTAGGTCTGGTTTAGTCCTGGTTTAGTCCTGGTTTGGTCCTGACCCTCTGTCCTCTCTCAGTGGTGTAGGTCCTGGTTTAGTCCTGGTTTAGTCCTGGTTTAGTCCTGGTTTAGTCCTGGTTTGGTCCTGACCCTCTGTCCTCTCTCAGTGGTGTAGGTCTGGTTTAGTCCTGGTCCTTTTAGTCCTGGTTCAGTCCTGGTTTAGTCCTGGTTTGGTCCTGACCCTCTGTCCTCTCTCAGTGGTGTAGGTCTGGTTTAGTCCTGGTTTGGTCCTGGTTTAGTCCTGGTTTGGTCCTGACCCTCTGTCCTCTCTCAGTGGTGTAGGTCTGGTTTAGTCCTGGTTTAGTCCTGGGTCCTGGTTTAGTCCTGGTTTGGTCCTGACCCTCTGTCCTCTCTCAGTGGTGTAGGTCTGGTTTAGTCCTGGTTTAGTCCTGGTTTAGTCCTGGTTTAGTCCTGGTTTGGTCCTGACCCTCTGTCCTCTCTCAGTGGTGTAGGTCTGGTTTAGTCCTGGTTTAGTCCTGGTTTAGTCCTGGTTTAGTCCTGGTTTGGTCCTGACCCTCTGTCCTCTCTCAGTGGTGTAGGTCTGGTTTAGTCCTGGTTCCTAGTCCTGGTTTTAGTCCTGGTTTAGTCCTTGGTTTAGTCCTGGTTTAGTCCTGGTTTGGTCCTGACCCTCTGTCCTCTCTCAGTGGTGTAGGTCTGGTTTAGTCCTGGTTTAGTCCTGGTTTAGTCCTGGTTTAGTCCTGGTTTAGTCCTGGTTTGGTCCTGACCCTCTGTCCTCTCTCAGTGGTCTGGTATAGTCCTGGTTTAGTCCTGGTTTAGTCCTGGTTTTAGTCCTGGTTTAGTCCTGGTTTAGTCCTGGTTTAGTCCTGGTTTAGTCCTGGTTTAGTCCTGGTTTAGGTCCTGGTTTAGTCCTGGTTTAGTCCTGGTTTGGTCCTGACCCTCTGTCCTCTCTCAGCGTGGTGTAGGTCTGGTTTAGTCCTGGTGGTTTAGTCCTGGTTTAGTCCTGGTTTAGTCCTGGTTTGGTCCTGACCCTCTGTCCTCTCTCAGTGGTGTAGGTCTGGTTTAGTCCTGGTTTAGTCCTGGTTTAGTCCTGGTTTAGTCCTGGTTTGGTCCTGACCCTCTGTCCTCTCTCAGCGGTGTAGGTCTGGCCCGCGCTCACTTCGAGAAGCAGCCTCCTTCAAACCTGAGAAAGTCCAACTTCTTCCACTTCGTCCTGGCGCTTTACGACCGTCAGGGCCAACCCGTGGAGATCGAGAGGACCTCCTACGTGGACTTCGTGGAGAAAGACAAGGTACCTCATCTTCATCCTCTTCGTCCTCCGACTCTTTCTCTCTCACACAGATCAAATCTCAAAAAGTTTTTCAGTTTTAAACAAAGTGTGTTCTGGGTCGATCACGATAAAACTGCGACAGAACCACTGACGAAACTTCAAAACAGAGCAACAAGAACTATCCCTCCTTCTCTCCCCGCTCTCTCTCTATCGCTTTCTCCCTCTGACTTCTTCTCTGTCTCCCTCTTTTCATTTCTCTCCATCTCTCTCTCTTTCTCTCCTCCTTCTCCCTCCCTCTTTCCTCTCTCTCTCCCTCCCTCCTCTTTCTCTCCCTCGCTCTATCACTCTCTCTTTCCCTTCCTGCTCCTCTCTCTCTTTCTCTCTCTCCCCTTTTCTCTCCCTCTTTCCTCCCTCTCTCTTTTCCCACCCTCCTCTCTTTCCCTCCCTCTCTCCTCCTCTCCCTCCCTCCCCCCTCTTCTCTTTCTCTCTCTCCCTCTTTCCTCCCTCTCTCTCTCTCTTTCCCACCTCTCCTCTCTTTTCCCTCCCTCCCTCCCTCCCTCCCTCCCTCCCTCCCTCCCTCCCTCCCTTTTCTGTCTCCCTCGTTCCTCCCTCTCTCTTTCCCTCCCTCTCTTTCTCTCTCTTCCCTTTTCTCTCCCTCTTTCCTCCCTCTCTCTTTCCCACCCTCCTCTCTTTCCCTCCCTCCCTTTTCTGTCTCCCTCGTTCCTCCCTCTCTCTTTCCCTCCCTCTCTTTCTCTCTCTCCCCTTTTCCTCCCTCTTTTCCCTCCCTCTCCTTTCCCACCCTCCTCTCTTTCCCTCCCTCCCTTTTCTCTCTCCCTCCCTCTCTCCTCCTCTCCCTCCCTTCCTCTCTTTTCTCTCTCCCTGGTTCCTCCCTCTCTCTTTCCCTCCCTCTCTTTTCTCTCTCCCTCTTTCTATCCCTGCCTCCTCTCTTTTCCGCCCTCTTTCCCTCTCTCCTCCTCTTCCTGGTTCCCTCTATCCCTCCCTCTTTCCTCTCTCCCTCCCTCCCCCTTTCCTCCCTCCCTCTTTTCTCCCTCTCTCACTCTTTCCTCCCTCTTCGCTCTCTCCCCCTCCTCTCCCTCTTCCCTCTCTCCCCCTCTCTCCCTCTTCCCTCTCTCCCTCTAACTTCTTCTCTGTCTCCCTCTTTTCATTTCTCTCCATCTCTCTCTCTTTCTCTCTCCTCTTTTTCTCTCTTCCTTTCCACTCTCCTTCTCTCCCTCCCTCTTTCCCGCTCCTCTTTCTCCTCTCTCTCTTTCCCTCCCTCCTTCCCTCCATCCTCCTCCTTCTCTCTCTCTCTCTCTCTCCCTCCTCTTTCTTCTCTCCCTCGCTCTATCACTCTCTCTTTCCCTTCCTGCTCCTCTCTCTTTCTCTCTCTCCACTTTTCCTTCTTTCTTTCCCCCCTCTCTGTCAATCTCTTCTTCCTCCCTCTCTCCCTCCCTCCTCTTTTTCCCCTCCCTCTTTCCCTCTCCTTCTCTCCCTATTTCCCTCCCTCCCTCCTCCTCTCTCTTTCTCTCTCTCCCTTTTCTCTCTCCCTCTTTCCCACCCTCCTCTCTTAACTCCCTCTCTCCTTCTTCTCCCTCCCTCACTTTTCTCTCTCCATCTTTCCTCCCTCTTCTCTTCCCTGCCTCCTCTCTTTTCCTCCCCTCTCCCTCCTCTCCTCCTCTTCCTGGTTCCCTCTATCCCTCCCTCTTTCCTCTCTCCCTCTTTTCTCCCTCTCTCACTCTTTCCTCCCTCTTCGCTCTCTCCCCCTCCTCTCCCTCTTCCCTCTCTCCCTCTTCTCTCCCTCTCTCGCCCCCCCTCTCCCTCCCTCTAACTTCTTCTCTGTCTCCCTCTTTTCGTTTCTCTCCATCTCTCTCTCTTTCTCTCTCCTCTTTTTCTCTCTTCCTTTCCACTCTCCTTCTCTCCCTCCCTCTTTCCCGCTCCTCTTTCTCCTCTCTCTCTCCCTTTCCCTCCCTCCTTCCCTCCATCCTTCCTCTTCTCTCTCTCCCTCCTCTTTCTCTCCCTCTCTCTGTCACTCCCTCTTTCCCTTCCTGCTCCTCTCTTTCTCTCTCTCCACTTTTCCTTCTTTATTTCCTTCCTATCTCTCACTCTCTCCTTCCTCCTCTCTCTCCCTTCCCTTCTCTCTTTCCCTCCCTCTTTCCCTCTCTCCTCCTCTCCCTGGTGTCGTCTATCCCTCCCTCCCTCTTTCCTCCCTCCCTCTTTTTTCTCTGTCCCTCTTTCTCTCACATTCTTCTCTCTCTCCCTCCCTCTTTCCTCTCTCGCTCTTTCTCTCTCCCTCCCTCCCTCTCTCCCTCCTCCCTCTGTTCTTCCTCTCCCTCTCTCCCTTCCTCTCCCTCCCTCTCTCTCCTTCGATCTATCTCTCTCCCTCTCTCTTCCCTCTCTCCATCCTTCCCTCTTTCCTCTCCTTCCCTCCCTCTCTTCCTCCTCTTCCCTTCTTCCCTCTGTCTCTCTCTCTCTCTTTCCTCTATCCCTCTTTTCTTCCTCTCCTCCCTCTTCCCTCTCTCCCCCTCTCCCTCTCTCTTCCCTCTCTCCATCCTTCCCTCTCCCTCCCTCTCTTCTCCCTCTCTCCTTTCCCTCTCTCCTCCCTCTCTCCTCTCCTCTCTCCTCCCTCTCTCCTCCCTCTCTCTTCCTCTCTGTCTCCCCCCCCTCTCTCCTCCCTCTCTCCTCTTCCCTCTCTCCTCCCTCTCTCCTTCCCTCCTCCCCCTCCCTCTTCTCCCTCCTTCCCTCTTCTTCCCTCTCTCCTCCCTCCTCTCCTCCCTCCTTCTTCCCTCTCTCCTCCCTCCTTCTTCCCTCTCTCCTCCCTCCTTCTTCCCTCTCTCCTCCCTCTCTCCTTCCCTCTCTCCTCCCTCCTTCTTCCCTCTCTCCTCCCTCCTTCTTCCCTCTCTCCTCCCTCCTCTCTCTCCCTCTCTCCTCCCTCCTCCCTCTCTTCCCTCTCTCCTCCCTCCTTCTTCCCTCTCTCCTCCCTCCTTCTTCCCTCTCTCCTGGCCGTGTTCCAGTTCTGAGCTCAGCTGGTCGACGTTTGAGCCAAAACTACAGAAAAACATAAAAGACAAAATAAATAAAAATATAACTGTGAGTCTGAGGCGGGGTCAGAGGTCACAGCCTTCTTCACTTTCATCAATATTTCAGTTCAATGTTCGGCCTCGGGGCTTCGTCTTTTTGGGACCAAATTATCTGCACTTTTATTTCATGTTCTTCTTTTTAATGTCTCTGTTTAAGATGTTCAGCTGCTTCACTCCTCGTTTATTTATTTCATAAGATGTAACGTTTTGATTCAGATTTTGAAGTTCCATTTTTAATTTTTTCCATTTTCATTTTCAGATTAATTTATTTTATTTTATCTTATTTATTGTATTTTATTTTCATTCATTTTAATTACACTTTTAAGTTATAACTTTTTCATGTTTTTCATTTTATTTATTTATTTTAAATTTTATTTATTACATTATCTACTTTTGTTTTTATATATTTTATTTTATTTTATTTAGTTTTGTTTTACTTTCTTTTTAATATTATTTTTAATTTTTTTTTAAACAGAATTTCCCCCATTGTTTCTCTTTTTATTTTAATTTTATTTATTTTTAAATTTTTAAAAATAATTATTTATATAAATATATTTTTTTATTTTTACATTAAAAAAATGTTTTACTTTCTTTGTAATATTATTTATTAAATTTTTGACAGAATTTCCCCCATTGCTTTTCATTTTATTTATTTATTTATTTTTTATTTATTGAATTTTATTTGTATAATTATTTATATATTTTTTCTGTTTACTTTTTTAAATTTAATTTTGTTTTGTTTTACTTTCTTTTTAATATTATTTATTACATTTTTTTTACAGAATTTACCCTATTGTTTCTTATTTTATTTTATTTATTTTTTTATTTTTTTTTATTCAATTTTATTTGTATAATTATATATTTTTTTTTATTAAATTTTTTTTTTTTTTTTTTTTTTTTAGTTTTGTTTTAGTTTCTTTTTATAATATTATTATTTATTTATTTGTTTTTGACAGAATTTTCCCCACATTAATTTCTACTTTAGATGATTACATTCCTAATACATTTTCCAGCACTTTCTTCTCTAAACGCTCCACATGTTTTTTTTGTGGTGGCACTTCCGGTTAAACGGGAATCCAAGTCATTTCAGTGGAGAATCTGGGAAAAGTTATAACGTGAATATTGATAACAGTGAAATATATTTGTGTTTGTGGCAGGAATACAACGGAGAAAAGACCAACAACGGGATCCACTACAGACTGCAGCTCCTCTACAGCAACGGTCAGAACGTCATCTTCTGTTTACCTCATTCATTTATTCATCATTAGAATTTTATAGCTCCTTTCAAGAGTCCCAGAGAGGTTTACACAGCATTATGACATTGTTTCTCAAAGACTGGGGTAGAGATTTTTTTTTGGGTCGCCTTGTCACGATCTTGCGTAACCAGTTTTCTGTGGGAAACACTGATTATTGTTTTTCCTTGTTTAAAACTTGAGTAATACTAATTGTTCAGAGACACGATCACTCAGTCGACAATAAAATATCCTCATTAATGTTCAATAATGGTCACACATTTATTTTCTGATTTACGAATAATGTCTATTGACTTGAGTCGTGAAGATTTGTGACTTTTAAAACATGGGTCCCCAGAAAAAAGTTTGGGAAACACTGGAACTACATTATTCAGTCACTCCACTGTTGTAGCCACAGCTGCCCTGGGACAGACTGATGGAAGTGAGGCTGCCAGTCTGTGTCATCAGCCCCTCTGACCACCAACACTCACACCGTTCATACTCGGCAATGTGGGCGAAGTGTCTTGCCTAAGGACACAATGGTATCCAACCTATTTCGATCCCAAAGGGGCCGGGAAAAAAAAAAAAAAGGCAAATAAACCCCAAAAAGAGCAATAAGTTCAAAGAAACGCAAATCTATTACAGAAATCTTCTTTAATTGATTAACTATTTCTTTTACAAAATATTATAATATTATGAACAACCTGAAACTTTAATAAAAATGCAATTTTAACACAAAGTTTTAACATGAACTTGTACTGTATTTTCTGGGCTATTAGACGCGCTCTTAAGCCTCTAACCGCATCAAAAAACGACCGCGCACCACAATCCAGAGCGCCCCATACACGAATCCACTCGGGCGTCCCAGCACGACTTCAGTAAACTACAAAGCCGCAAACACACACGGAGCAAACAGCGACCGCACAGCGAAAAACACCCACAGACACACTCATCACTCCACGCCGACGAGGAACGGAACGGAGGAACGAACCGAAAAAGCGAGTCCAAGTGTGCCGCTTCTAGACACGACTGAACAACTGAGTCACTGCGAACACGCCGACAATCCAGCGATCCCAGACACACCCTCCCTACACGCCACAACTGAACAAACCCAGAGTCACCATGAACGAACAAACAAACAAAACCACTCACCCATCACACTGTTGTGTTTCATTTAAAGTCCCGTGAGGTTTATTTGTGAAAAAAGTTTGAAAATAGACCATTTAATGACAGTGCGACTTATAATACAGAGCTCCTAATAGCCCGGAAAATACGGTATGCAAATAGGAATAAGTCAATTTTTGTTGGAAAATTCTGCACTCGGTTCCACTTTTCTCATTTTTGACATTTTTCTGATGAGGGTGTCACGGTCAACAGTCAAAACGATCGTCCTTTAATTAAGAGCGTTTGGAAAGAGACAAGTCTTCATTTGTGCTGCTCTGGTGGGAGGGGCCACGTACGAGACGCTGGAGACGCTACTGTGATAAACACCGCAGAAAATTACCAATATTTAACTTTAATAGAAAATATAATAAAAATATTTTAGTAGAAAATCAGCCGAGGGCCAGATTAAAGGTCTTGGAGGGCCGGATCTGTCCCCGGGCCGTATGTTTGACACCCCTGTGGTTGAGTGTTTGTTCACTGATCCCAAGGTTGGCAGTTTGAATCCCGCTCTTGACCTAAACCTCCCTGATCGAGCGCTCAGATCCACTGACCCACAGGTTGGTGGTGTGATTCCAGCTCCCACAGATGAATGCTGTCGTTGTGTCCTTGGGCAAGACATTTAACCCACCTCGCCCCCAGTGTTTGCGTACACTGGAGTGTGAATGGGTGAGTGGTTTGTTTGTTTTGTTTTTATTTAGATCCTGATTTAGATTCCTGGGCTCCATGTCAGGCTATAAATGCATTTTTTTATTCACATACAGAAAACAGGATGTACATACATATTCACATTAGGGATGGACATTCGATGAAATTTTCTTAATCGATCGTCGGAAGAATTAACAATCGATTATCGATTAATCATTAATGTTTTTATATTAAAATGATCATCATTATTATTACTATCTGCACTACTAATCTGCATAAATATATTCAACTTTACGACATATAAACCGTAACGACTCTAGAGCCACATCAGCCCGTTTGACATTATAATGTGTTTAATTCAGTTTTGCTCAACTCTCACAGAAACTAAACTTAAAACCACATCGCTAATTTGCATAAACTAAGCGAAGATAAAACTACAGCTCTTGTGTCGCTGATGCGGTTCAACTTCTGTCAGATTAAAAGACATGATTCAGTGGAATACAGGTTAGTGTGACCAGATTTGCGTTTGTCAAAACCAGGACATCGTACGGGGGGAGGGAGGTGGGGACTCGTCATCCACATTGAGCGACTCTCACCTGGCAAAACTTTTTCCCACTGGACACAGAAACATATGTGCTGCTTTATACACTGTGCACATGGACTCACACTTGTCCCGAACGCAACGGAAAGTGTGGAATTTCTTGTACAAGTCATTGTTAAATACACATTTGTGCTTCGGTACGTTGCAGACTGACCCACTGTTTGTGTCTCGCTCCTTCTGATGCAGAGACACATGTACACACCTGTTTGGTCACGACACACAGCAACCTACATTCGGTTTGTCGATTAAAATTAACGTAATCGATGAAATTCTTAATGATCAATTATCGATTAATCGATTAATCATGCCCATCCCTAATTTACATAACAAAATAACAAAACTATACAAATAATCATGAATCAAAATAATCTAAATAAAGTGATTCACTGATGTCAGGCGCCTTGAAGGTGGAAAAGCATAAAAATGTTCCGTTTGTCCTTAGTATCCCACTGTGGCACCTGGAATTCCCAGCGTTTTCCCATCCAAGTACTTGTGTTTTTAAGATAAAACTTTAGACTGCTTCACTCCGCAGTGTTCCAGCAGCCGGAGCCCTTAAGATCTGCAAAGTAAACCTAAACAGTGTCCTAAATAGGAAAACGAGTGTTTAGACTTTTTTTCACGTGACCCGACTGTCGTGATCTGCGTGTCCGAATCTCTGTGTCTGAGGGGTTAGGGGCTGGAGGAGACATTCGGACACGGCCCTTTTTTTCTTTCCTGCTGCTTAAAACATCATTTCAACAAAACAAAGGGGCTTTTTTACATTTGTTTTTGTCAGATAATTGTCTCTGTGACATTAGAGGAGTTTGGGCCCAGCTACGCCGCGGTTGCTAGGTAACAGTTAAAATTCCCTAGTGTGATGTCATCATTTCAAACCAGGAAGGAAGACTGAAAAGTGTCCTAGTCCTGGGGAAACGAACGGGAATGTTTTGGCGATGGAGATGTTATTGTTTTCCCTGGAATGTTCGGTACGACATTAAACATAAAACATCTAGCATTTATTCATTCATTCAATTTTTTTGTTTGTTTGTTTGTTTTGTTTCTTTTGCTCTAAAACACAATAATTCCTTCTGTGAATGGGGGCGCCTCTCCACAGATCTGACCTGTCATGTAGCGCACAGGGGTGTGGTGGACGTGGTTCGAGGGAGTTCGCCGTCCACCCACGTCTCCCGATATGAGATATAAAAAAATAACAAATATAAAACAGCTACAACTTAATTTGTAGCTCTGCCCCCATGAGGCTAAAACACAGCCGCCCTGGTTTAGTCCTGCTTTAGTCCTGGTTTAGTCCTGGTTTAGTCCTGGTTTAGTCCTGGTTTAGTCCTGTTTTAGTCCTGCTTCAGTCCTGGTTCAGTCCTGGTTTAGTCCTGTTTTAGTCCTGGTTTAGTCCTGGTTTAGTCCTGGTTTAGTCCTGGTTTAGTCCTGTTTAGTCCTGGTTTAGTCCTGCTTTAGTCCTGCTTTAGTCCTGGTTTAGTCCTGCTTTAGTCCTGGTTTAGTCCTGGTTTAGTCCTGGTTTAGTCCTGCTTTAGTCCTGTTTTAGTCCTGGTTGAGTCCTGGTTTAGTCCTGGTTTAGTCCTGTTTTAGTCCTGGTTTAGTCCTGATTTAGTCCTGGTTTAGTCCTGTTTAGTCCTGCTTTAGTCCTGGTTTAGTCCTGGTTTAGTCCTGCTTTAGTCCTGGTTTAGTCCTGGTTTAGTCCTGTTTTAGTCCTGCTTTAGTCCTGGTTTAGTCCTGGTTCAGTCCTGGTTGAGTCTTGTTTTTGTCCTGTTTTAGTCCTGGTTTAGTCCTGCTTCAGTCCTGCTTCAGTCCTGGTTTTAGTCCTGGTTTAGTCCTGGTTTAGTCCTGTTTTAGTCCTGGTTTAGTCCTGTTTTAGTCCTGGTTTAGTCCAGTTTTAGTCCTGGTTTAATCCTGGTTCAGTCCTGCTTTAGTCCTGTTTTAGTCCGGTTTTAGTCCTGTTTTAGTCCTGCTATAATCCTGGTTCAGTCCTGTTTTAGTCTTGTTTTAGTCCTGCTTTAATCCTGGTTCAGTCCAGTTTTTAGTTCTGGTTCAGTCCTGCTTTAGTCCTGTTTTAGTCCTGGTTCAGTCCTGGTTTAATCCTGGTTCAGTCTTGTTTTTAGTCCTGTTTTAGTCCTGTTTTAGTCCTGCTATAATCCTGGTTCAGTCCTGTTTTAGTCTTGTTTTAGTCCTGCTTTAATCCTGGTTTAGTCCAGTTTTAGTTCTGGTTCAGTCCTTTTAATGTTAATAACAAGATTCTGCATCATTTTTAATTAAAACAAATCAAACATTTCAGATTTTTACTGGACCTGGCGCCTTTTATCAATGACGTCACAAATCACGTACAATGTGTTTTATTAAAATGAGTGATCCAAACTGAAAATACTTACACTTAATCGTTATAGTTTCGCCCGCAGTCCTGTCTCCTCTCGCTCTGACTGATGTTTCATTAGAGGAGAAGTGTGTATCTGTGTATTTTTATTTTTTTCATGTTATTATTATTATTATTATTTTCCCGACAGGACGATGGCAGGAACAGGATTTCATTTAAACTCTTGTCTTTAGGCCAAAAAGAAGATTCCATTTGTTTATTTTATGATTTAGATCCATGTACGATTTGTTCTTTTGAGTTTCAATTAAGAACGAAAAACAATAAAATGGGAAAACAATTTGTTATTTCATTATTACGTTTTAGTGTCAAACAAAAAACTGATTTTGACCTCGATTTCCAATGTTTAATTTAAAGTTTATTTCAAATAAACCAATCAAAAAACAGCCTATTTTAATTTTGATATTTTATTCTCTCTGGTTTATTTGCCCCGGAAGTTCTGCTGCTCAGTGCTCGTTTATCACCTCCCTGTTTCCTGTTTCTCATCATGGAGTTTGTTGTCGAAGTTCTCAGCTTGTCCAAGAAAGGGAGAAAAGTAAAAAGCTGGAGACCAACTGGACGTCTTAAAGGGACAGTTCGGAATTTTGGACATAGGACCTCATTTCCTCGTGAGTCAGAGTGTTGGAGACGTCTGGAGACACTTTTAAAAAATATTCCATCCAGTCCTTGTATTTGCAGAGGTCGCTGGTGCTAGACTAGTGCATGTCAATGGTCATAGTTTATCCTGCCACTAAAAACAGTCTTACCCACTCCACAAAACACCAGAAACAAATCTATTATTACTCCAGACTGTCCATGTGAATGTCTGTGTTGATAGAATAATTGTAGAAGTAAAATCAACCTTGCGTTTGAAGGATTTATGTCTGAGCAGCAGCAGCGAGTTGTACTTACTGATAGAAAGCTCGGCAGCGGCGGAGTGATATATGAGAAAATAGTCCCTCAACATGCGACGATTCATGCGACGCGAGGTTAGTTTTATTTCAAACATTATTCTATTGACACAGACATTTACATGGACAGTCTGGTGTAATAATAGATTTGTTTTGGGTGTTTTGTGGAGTGGGTAAGCAGGATAACTATGGCCATTGACATGCACTAGCCTAGCACCAGCGACCTCTGCAAATACAAGGACTGGATGGAATATTTAAAAAAGTGTCTCCACACGTCTCCAACAGTCTGACTCACGAGGAAATGAGGTCCTACTGTATGTCCAACATTGCGAACGGTTCCTTTAAGCAGGAGAAGTTTATTTACCATTAATAATACAAGCCCGGGGGGATTGGAAAAGCCAACATAGTGTAATTTCAAATGTGAACCTAGTCTGATCTTTGAGGAGGTTTATAAAGTCAGTGTGGTGAGACGGTGAAGACCAGTAGAGAGAAATATGCCACCATCTAGATCAGGAAGGATTTTTTTGCGGCCCTCCACTTAAAGGTTGTATGGAGGATTTTTTTTTGTTTCAAATCGTCTGTGAAAGTTTAAAATACCATTACAGAGACGCAGAAGCCTTGTAATTATGATGACCAAAAAAAAAAAAAAAGAATGAAAATCTGTCAATTGTGGACGTAGTGAGGCCAGATAAACATCAGCCAATAGAAAACGAGGCTGCCTCATTTTCTATTGGTTGTCAATCAAACTCCCTATGTTTCTAGTGTAACTGCCTGGGGATTATGTGGTTTATGCAGCGGTTTTTAGAGGCTTTTTTAAACTGTCGCTTCCTCGCATTTCGCCCAAAGTTTGTCGCGATGTCGGACGAGAATCCACGACCAGTTCGCCGCAAAAGAAAGTCCGTTTTTGAGGTCGCTGAAAGAAGAAGAGAAGGGGAAAAGGAGCAAAGACAAACTGAGATGATTTTTGGAGATTCTTTCCAGCGATTGCGCGACTGAAGCAGACGAAGGCTCTAAAAACTGATGTGTCGGTCGCTAAAATATTTCTAGACAGGAAACTTCAACAGTAATTCTGAACGCGCACTGGATGTAAACAAGTGTGATTTCTAGAGTAAAGAGGCAGGAGGAGGTGTTTCTACTGAGGCTGTGGAGGAGGAAGGTGGTGTCACGCATGCTCAACATTTGAAAAAGGACTGTCGCTGTATTTCTTTTCCCTTAAAAAATCCTCTATACAACCTTTAATTCCAAAGAATAATGTCAGTGCGGCGCGCGGTAGATGTACGCACAATCCCACCCCCCGACCGCACTGACAGATGAAGCTGCAATCGGTGCCCGTGCAGATTCACAACAACAGATTATTAACGCAGCTTACGTCCCAAAACTCAACTTACAGCAGCTGTGAAGCAACGAGTCTAAGTGGATCTGTTAATACAAGTACACGTGCACATACGGCGTTTTTTTTCATGCAACCGCTATTTATCGAATACTCAATGCGGCCCAGCCTCACTCAGACTTTATCTAATGTGGCCCCCGGGTCATTTGAGTTTGAGACCCCTGATCTAGATAAAGGCAGTGGTGGGGACTCGCAAGTCGTGACTTGGACTCGAGTTGGAGTTGAGTCACTATTTTTAGGACTTGAGACTTGACTTTGATAAAATGGACTAAGACTTGGGACTCGACTTGGACTTGAAGGTCAGTGACTTGGGACTTGACTCGGACTTGAGGCCTGTGACTTGAGGAGCACTTTTAAATCTTAGTTCTTTCTATTCTGGCTGTAATGATTCACACTAAGATCTTGTCAAGACATTTAAAAAAGAAAAAATTGCATTTCTACAACTTTTATATTCTTTATAAATACTCATATATAAATATACTTTGACTTTATAAGAACAATTTATCTTAAAATTCATTTAAATTGCAAAATCTAAGCTGCGTTTGATACTGTGGTTTAAAGACTTGAAGTGACTTGAAGCTCAAAGCAGACGACTTGGACTTGACTTGGACTTATGGGCCAGTGACTCGAGACTCAGTTTGGACTTGAGGTCAAAGACTTGAGACTTGACTTGAGACTTACAAACCGACAACTTGGTCCGATCTCTGGATAATGGTGCCAATGGTGTGCCAAGATCATGGTGTAAATAAAGGTTTTGTGAGTCCATGTTAAACTGAAATGTACGTGGAAGATAAATTACTTAAATTCTCTTAAAGAGTTTGGAGGTAACAACATTATAACACAAATTAAAATTCACAATTTAGCAAATCAGTTTATATTTATACTGCAGTTTCTCTTCATCGTAACTTTTGTGTTTTTTTTTTTTGCAGGAATCAGAACAGAACAGGACCTGTACGTGCGGCTCATCGACTCCATGACCAAACAGGTGAGGAAGATCATGGTCCAGACCCGGTCCAGACCAAGTTCAGACCTGGTCCAGACCTGGGGAAGACCTGGTTTAGTCCTGTTTTACACCTCTTTAATTCAGGTTTAGATATGATGCTGTCTGGATTTGTGCTCCTTTGTTTTGTTTCATTTCTGGTTTAGTCCCGAATCAGACCTGGTTTAGTCCTGGTTCAGACCTGGTTTAGTCCTGGTTCAGACCTGGTTTAGTCCTGGTTCAGACCTGGTTTAGTCCTGATTCAGACCTGGTTGGTATGGTTGCATCAGTTCCTTAGTCAAAAACATGTCACAATTTTAAACCAAAACTAAATTACAATTAAACCAGGACTAAACCAGGGCTAAACAAGAACTAAACCAGAACTAAACCAGACTAAACCAGGACTAACCAGGACTAGACCAGACCAGGTTCGTTCTGAGCCTCCTTCCTTCTCCCCCTCCTGATCGTTGGGCTAAACCAGGACTGAACCAGAATTACACCAAGACTACACCAGGACTACAGCAGGACTAGACCAGGACTCCAACAGGACTAAACCAGGACTCCAACAGGACTAAACCAGGACTACAGCAGGACTAAACCAGGACTACAGCAGGACTAGACCAGGACTAAACCAAAAATAAACCAGGAATACACCAGGGCTAAACTAGGACTAAACCAGGATTAAAACCAGGACTAAACTAGGACTAAAACAGGACTAGACCAAGACTAAACCAGTGCTAAATGAGAACTAAACAAGAACTAAACCAGGACTAAACCAGGACTACACCAGGGCTACACCAAGACTAAACCAGGACTGAATCAGGACTGGGACAGTAAAACCAAGCTTTAGACTAAAGCTAAAACAGGACTAAACTGGGACTAAAACTGTAACTCAACTTGGACTAGACCAGGACTAAACCAGGTCTACATCAGGACTGAACTAGGATCAAACCAGGACTAAACCAGGACCAGTGTGAAAAGACAGAACTTGAGTAGGACTAAACCGGTACTAAAACAGGACTGAAAAACTGGACCAAAACAGAAGCAGGACTACAGCAGATCTAAACCAGGCCTATAGACCCCGAGTCCTGGTCTGGAGTGATGTGGTCTAGTCCAAGTCCCAGGTCTGAGTCCCCGAGCTGTCAGGACTAGACCAAGATGGACGACGGTGGAGTTTAGAGGCGGATCAGAGGAGCAGGAGAGGAGAGGAAACGGAGGCAGAGAGTGAAGAGAGACGAGGAGACGACCGGGAGGGGGAGGCTCAGACCGGACCTGGATCTGGTTTAGTCCTGGTTTAGTCCTAGGTTTAGTCTTGATTCAGTTCTGCTTTAGTCCTGCTTTAGTCCTGCGTTAGTCCTGGTTCAGTCCGACTTAAATCCTAGTTTACTCCTGGAGTCTTGGTCTAATCCTGGTTCAGTCCTGGTTCAGTTCTGCTTTAGTCCTGGTTCAGTTCTGCGTTAGTCCTGGTTTAGTCCTGGTTTAGTCCTGATTCAATCCTGGTTCAGTCCTGGTTTAGTCCTGGTTTCCTGGTTCAGTCCTGCTTTAAGTCCTGTCCTGGTTAGTCCTGGTTTTAGTCCTGGTTTAGTCCTGGTTCATCCTGGTTTCAGTCCTGGTTCAGTCCTGTTAGTCCTGTTAATCCTGGGTTAGTTCTTGTTTAGTCCTGGTTCAGTCCTGGTTTAGTCCTCCTGTTTCCAGTCCTGGTTTAGTCTTGGTTCCAGTCCTAGTCCTGGTTTTCAGTCCTGGTTTTTCAGTCCTGGTTTAGTCCTGGTTTAGTCCTCCTGGTTTTCCTGGTTTATCCTGGTTTAATCCTGGTTTTAGTCCTGGTTTTAGTCCTGGTTTTAGGTCCTGGTTTTAGTCCTGGTTTTCAGTTCCCTGGTTTAATCCTGGTTTGGTTTAGTCTGGTTTTAGTCCTGGTTTAGTCCTGGTTTAGTCCTGGTTTAGTCCTGGTTTATCCTGGGTGGTTTAGTCCTGGTTTAGTCCTGGTTTATCCTGGTTTAGTCCTGGTTTAGTCCTGGTTTCAGTCCTTGGTTCAGTCTTGGTTTAGTCAGTCCTGGTTTAGTCTTGGTTCAGTCCTGGTTTTAGTCCTGGTTTCAGTCCTTAGTTCAGTCTTGGTTCAGTCCTGGTTTAGTCCTGGTTCAGTCCTGATTTAGTCCTGGTTCAGTCCTTGTTTCAGTCTTGGTTCAGTCCTGGATTTAGTCTTGATTTAGTCCTGATTTAATCCTGGTTCAGTCCTTGTTCAGTCTTGGTTTAGTCCTGTTTTAGTCTTGATTTAGTCCTGCTTCAGCCCCGCTCATGTCTTGATCTAATCCTGGTTGAGTCCTGGTTGAGTCCTGGACAGATGTTGGGGGGCGCTGGGACCACCTCGGAGACCAGGATCTAGGCCAGGACTTTGAGGAATTGGGATTTGCGGATCTTAAATGGAGTGTGAAGGAGGCTGTAAAGTCCATGTTTAAAGACCGTTAAAGAGGACTTCTATCCACTCTGTCGCCGCGTTATAAACCCCACTCTG